GTGGTTAGACAACTGTCCCAATAAGATTCTTTACTGCAAATAGAAATGTACCTTATTTAGGGTTTCCCTATTATACAAAGGGGACCCCAATCATCTGTAAAGATCAACTAATCATTGACAAAGAATATACTCTCTTACTTTTTCGCTCATTGTTCATCAGAATTGTCCTTTAGCTTTATTGTTCTTGATCCATCTCGAGGTCACTTCGGCTCGAGGTCGAGACTGGTCTACATTCTGGTTTGATTTTACTTGTTCCTTTCATTTATACTTCATATTTCTTGATTATTAATTGGTATTGAACTAAATCACATATCTTTAAAACCATAAATCAAATTTAATTGTTATATTTTCGAGTTAAACAACTAGTTTTACCAGCAGAGAATTATGTGGACATGACCTGCCTATGATAGAAGAAAAAAATATTACTACTACATTTTCTTTTTTCTTTTCTTTTCTTTTTTCTTTTTGTTATGGATAAGACCAACACTATTCTGGTCGATCCTGTTTCCCTTTTTAGGTTTCCTAGGATAAGAATGAAAAACTAAACAATTGGACATTTAATAGTACAGTATTTTCTAATTTCACCATTCACCAACAAAGAATGATGTGGACATGACCTTAGAGAGTTCAATCTTTCGTAATAATAGCAAGTGAAGATGCTTTTTTTCTTCTATACAATGAGTAAGAGAAATTCAAGTTTTTGTGTGTGTTTGTTGTAAAGAATGAAATGGGACCACAGTTTGCTTAAGAAAAGCAAAGCAAAAACTAAAGGTTTTGATCAATTATGACGGTGTAAAACAATCTTTTGTAATTAAAAGATTAACTAAAATATAATTATACACTTGATATTTTTCTATTACTAAAGAATATTATAGAAGTTCTCCTAATTGCACCATACCTTTTTTTTAAAAATGTACAATTCAATAAGTTAAATAGAAAAAATATCCAACTCTTGTACTTGGTAAATTGCTATTACACCTTACTTTTTAGCTTTCTTGGTAGTATCAAACATTATTTTGGTATTTTCAATTTTTGATAGTTGGAGGTTTGGAGCAATAGTGAAGTTATCTCCGGGATCAAGTCGTGAAGCAGCCAGTAATACTTGCATTAAAGTAGGCTATCTACTTTACACACCTTATTAAGATACGATCCTTTCCTAACTTTGTGTGGATATGGAATCTCATATGCATCGGACTTGCTCTACCCACTTTTTGATCATAGGACCTTTGGGGGAAAAAGAATATGCATCGGACTTGCTCTAACCACTTTTTTTATTTTCTATTTTGGAAAATTCCGGAAAAATATGTTGTCCTATTTTTCGAGTGCGCATTAATATCACGTCAGTGTTGCTAATTTTATTCTATCACATTTGTCCCTTTTTCCAAAAGAAATTCACTATACTGGAACAATAACTGATTAACTGTCACTGTCGGTGGAATAAAAAAGAAACCACAACCACCAGTAACCAGAAAAAGGTCTCTCACTTGTACCACACATTACCTACTGTTAAATCACACAAATGTCATGTTATACTCCAATTTACATGGAATTATTTGGAGTTTAGATTCGATTTTTTTCTCCTAAAAGATCAAAATAGAGATGCGTTCATGTCAAAATTCCACTATGTTTTGCCACAAACGCGCCTTGATTTTGCGTAAGAATCCGCTGCTGCTTTATTTCCCCTGTTGTCAAGGTCTTCGTAGAAATGCAAAATTCCGATGTGTTTTGGACCAGATTGTCCCCAAATTCGCCGTTTCCTCTTCGCTGAGCTCAGTTTTGACTTCCGGCAACGCGATTGCTGCAGCGGCCGCTGTGGCAGGTACCGGCTCACTTCACGGAGCGGTTTCGTCGGCGATAACTCAGGTTGCCGTCACGGCGGTGGCGATTGCCTCCGGAGCTTGCCTTTCCACTAAGGTGGATTTTTTGTGGCCCAAAGTAGATGAACAACCTGNAGTGTAATTTAATTAGGTTACTTATCATTTATTTTAGGCTACAATTCAATATTATTGAATAGAGCTATTTACAATTACCATTTAAATGACATGATAGTGGAAATATTTTTTACACTGTCGGCATAAAGATTAAACTCTATATTTTTAAGTTTATTTTGATTTTAAAAGAAAAGCTGCATTGGAAGTATATGTTCTGTGACAAACAAGGTATGGAGGAATCAAAGTTGGTGTCTTATTCCATGAAGTGATACATATATATACATGTACATAGGATCCTAACTATGGAAAGAAATAAAAGGAAAATCCTAAAAATCTACTATCAAATCTCAATAGTACAAGTAATCTGTCTACATTCATTCTTTAACACTCCCCTCAAGCTGGAGCATAGATATTAATCATGCCCAGCTTGTTGCAAAGATAATTAACTCGAGTTCTATTTAACGCCTTTGTGAATACATCAGCCAATTGCTCTCCTGTCTTCACGTAACTAGTAGAAATCAAGTTTTCCTAAATCTTCTCACGAATAAAGTGACAGTCAACTTCAATATGTTTTGTCCTTTCATGATACACCAGATTTGAGGTGATATGAAGAACAACTTGATTATCACACCAAAGTTTTGCTGGTGTAGTATGCTTTATCCTAATTTCCGTGAGAAGGTGATGTATCCACATAACCCCACACGTAGTCTGTGCCATAGCCTTGTATTCGGATTCTGCACTGGATCGAGATACAACATTTTGTTTCTTACTTCTCCGTGATACCAGGTGTCACAGGGGTGATTTGTGTCACTCGAACTCAGCCCGAGGTTCACCTCCGTGCGGCAGTCAAGCCCAGCCTTGACTTCAGCCTTTCCAACACTTAGTTTTATTTTTAGGGACGTTTGAACTTTGAATGAAAATAGGCAGCAAAAATCTGTAAATAAAGGCACACGATATACAGGAATTTCTTCCCAACTTGTATTAATAAGTGAATACAAGAACACAATAGCCAACCCTATGGCCAAGACAAAGAATTCCCTAATTCCCTGCCCCAAAATAGTTTTCCCACCCTTAGG